TAAAAAAATAAAAAATTTACAAATTAATAATAATTTAAAAATCTTGTTAATATAATTCAAGGATAAAAGAAAAAAGGAAGTATTAATTGCATCCTATTTCTTTGCTTTCCTTCTAACAGTAGATCATGTTGTATAAGGGTAGGTGTGAAATTAAGTTGTAGATGCAGTGAAAACAGAAAAGATAGGGAAAGAGTGGGAGAACCATCCCTTTTCCACCTGAATCTAGGAATACTTAGTAAACCAAGTAAGAAATGAACAAACAGACAAACAAACATAGTCCAGAATTTTATTCAAGAATCATGAGAAGTTTGAATTATCAGGCTAAATGTTACAGGTAAAATGTTTTAATTGACAGGTAAGTATTTTAATTGCCATATAAAATACTGAAGGAAAAATGAATTTTATTTTCTCCCCTGAAATATCTTGTTAAAGGATGTTAGATTTTTTTTCTGGGGTGGGGTTTGTATCTGACTTTTCTTTGCATTTTATGGTCAAAGTAAGATTTGGTTTTGTAAGAACACACCTGTGACCGCATAGGGGTGTGAATACTCTTGAGAAAATATTATTTTTTCAGTATGAAGAACAAATATTTCCCATAGTGAATCAAAGTCCTAACAGACGTTAGCAGAGTTGAGAAGCAGTTTCTAGAACTGCATTGGCCTTCAACTCAGTTTTCTTCAGCCAATACTAGACTACTAACTGCACAAAGGCAGTGTCATCATTAGCTGTACAACTAAGTAGATGTAGGGAAAAGGGCAGAGAGACATGGATATAAACTAGATTTCAAATTGAGTTCCCAGCATCTTGCCATGTGTTCCATCCTCCTTTTCCGGTTACTTCAATTGCCAAAATATTTGACAGAGGCCACAGTGTGTCACAATAAGTTGATTAGGCTGACAGATCAAAGGAAATGATGAGAGTTATGGTGTTTTTATCCAGGTTTTCTTTGCATTTATAACTGAACCCAAAATGAACTCAGGATAGCCAAAGGCACTCTGTGCTTTTGATCAGTAAATTATGCAAACTGGCTTTGGACTGAAATACTGAATTGTAAACAACTGGCTTTGGACTGAAATACTAAATTGTAAACTCAAGGCTTCTCAGAGAAGCTCTCCAACTTTGAACATGACTGGAAGTGATGAACCCTTATTGTTTCCAGCACTTGTTTCAATTCCTTATTTTGCTTTTCTATTTCAGAGCAGACTGGAAATTATTCTGAGCCCTTCCTAATAAGTGAGTATCAAATTAGTCAAATAAAATTAAGAAAATTAGCTTGTTTGGTAGTTGGAAAAGTTGTAATGAAAGTTGGGTTTTAATCAAGTAGATTTGCTCTATATTAGATTCTCTGTGCTAAGGATCTTAGTTCCTATTCTTTTTTTAAATTTTATTTTAATGTAGATTTTAATGAACTTTTAAAAAGAACTTGGATTTCCATTCATTCATTATTGCACATTTTCCTCCCTTACCCCCCCCCAGTTTGCTCCTTTCATTGTTGCACAATTCCCCCCCTCACAGTCCACTTTGCTGTGCAGCATTTATTCTGGACTGTTGTCATGCAAATAATATCTAATCATACATTCCTTTTAAACAGTTCTCTCCCTCATCTGTTTCAATGCACTGTACATTATTTGTACCCTCTTTTCTTAGTTATCTCGCAACCCCCATGTCAGTCTTGTTTTATAACAGTGGCATTATGCAGTATTTGTCCTTTTGTGACTGAGATATTTTACTCAGCATAATGGCTTCCAGGGTCACTTATTTTGTATACTATTTATGAGTTCTTGTTTTTCAGTGCTGCATAATATTCCATTGTGTAAATATACCACAGCTTCTCTAGTCATTCCTTTGTTGATGGACAGTTGGGTTGTTTCCATCTCCTTGCATTGGGGAAAACACAGTCCTATTCTTACCCATGTCCCTCTCACAAGCAACTATTCCTTCCACTCTTGGCAACCAGTTGGATGTCCAGTCAACCTTGGTCCTATGGTCAGCGAAGCTTTTGCTTTCGCTCTGAATTATCAAACCTCATGTTACCATCTTTATCCAAAACCACTCTTACAGAGAAGTAATCGTACACACAATGTCTTAGTCCAGTATTACATTCTAAGACATTGAATGTCTTAGAATGTCTCCATCTAATTGGTTTGCATAATGCACAACAGAAACTCACAATTTTTAAAAAATATGTATCTTACAGCCATTTATTAAAACAAAAATTTCCTGAAGCCAAATTTACACCAAGCCACTTTACACAATGTGCATCTTTACACAATTGACATCTTAAACTGGAGAATTTCTAATGACATAAGTAGAAGAAGCTTCCCTAGATAATGGAGGGTGTTTCACGTCATGTCTGGCCTCTATTTACTAGCTGCTAGCTTCTCTGCCCTCTCAATTGTGTGAGAGAGGAAAAAAAAAATCTCTAGAACTTGCCAAAGGTTCCCTGGGAAGTAAGGTTGCTCCAGGTGAGAACCATAATTCTAGTGTGTAGAATATATTCTATTCTGATATTTTCCTGTTCTACTTCACTTTTACAAACATACTCTTTGTGACCTACTAAATTATTTTCATGACCTACAAAAGAATTGCAACCTATTGTGGATGAGCAAGGCCTAAATGCACATCAATACTGATTAACCGTAAAAAGCACTAGCTGTACACTTAAGAACCAAGCAGAGTTTGCTGTGTTGAAAGAACTTGAAGTCAGTGTCAGAAAGAAGTTGGCTTAAGTCCTAACTGCCACTTACCAGCTATCTGACCTTGGGGCAATCTTTGAACAGTAGAACACGTCTTAAGTCATAGGACTGAATACAAATTATGGTTCCCTTGCTTTTCTTATCAGTAAATATGAGAGTTCAATGTTGTTGTAGTTGTTAGGTGTTGTTGAGTTGACTTTAACTCACAGTGACCCTTTGTATCATAGCTTGAAACTCTGCCTGCTCTGGAGCCAGCCTCACTATCTCTCACTATCTGCGCGGTGTTTAGTTAGGCTCACTGTTGCCGTCAGAGTGCCAGGCCATCACATTGAGAGTTTTCCATTCCTTCACTGACCTTCTCTTTTTCCAAGCATGATGTCCTTTTCCAAGAACTGATCCTTTCTGATAACAGGCTCAAAGTATGTGAGACATAGTCTCATTATTCTTGCATTTCCTCCAAGACAGATTTATTTGTTCTTTTGGCAGTCCATAATATACACAATACTCTTTGCTAACACCAAATTCAAAGGAATTAATTCTTCTTCCAGCTTCCTTGTTCATTATCCAACTTTTACATATAAATGAAACAATTAAAAATACCATGGCTTGGGTAAATAATATGAATGAAAGGGCATAGGTAAAGTTCTACTCAGTTGTCACAATGCATTTCTGCAGAGGGTAAACCCTAGATTTAGAACTTTTGCAAAAAATAAATTATAATACAGGGCCATACGCACTCAGCGAAAAAGCACCAGATAGATGAAGGCGCAGAGGTGAGGGAGGGTTTTCTGGAGGGAGAATTGGAGACATACCCTTGTAATCCTCTCCACTCAAATTCTGATGAAGCAGAAGGCCAACTGATGGCATGCGCAGATTTTGCCCCTGGCAGCCTCATGTGATGCCTAGTAGAACAACATGCCTTAGGGTTTTCAGGCTGTGACCCTTTGGAAGATCACCAGGCCTTTATTCTTAGGTGCTTCTTGTTAACCTCTACTCTTTCATTTAGTAATAGTGGAATACTTAATAATTTATACCACACAAGGACCAGGGACCTTAACACTGTAGAAGATGCTGAAAATTCTAACCTACCTCAGAGTTCCTAACTGCTTTCAGCATTGACATTTCAGATGCAACCAGCGCCTCAAGACCAGGAACGCTTTCTGAAGAGAGGATAGACAGATGGCTCCTTTATGGTTTGCTTCCTTTGGGGGCATTGCCTCTGCTCTTCACTGCATGTTTCTGCCTCTTCCGCTGCCTGAGGAAGCACCAAGGTGGGTTTCATTTCCCCTCTAACCCTTCTGTACTCACATGTGGGGTTCTATTCTTGGGGGCTGCTGGTTGATAGCTTTTCCTTTGGTTTCTGCAGTTTTCTTTCATGACCTCTTAGGGTTCACCATACATAGTTTTTTCCTGGATAGCATCTTTTACACCAGAAAGTCAGGTGGATTAAGGCAAGTTCACCTAAATGATAGAGCCGGCATGTGTACTATGGCAGTGCCCAAGTCAGAAATGTGATAAGCATTGTACTTTGCTGGGGATTTCTTATTTTTATTTATCTTAGGCTCAAAGAGGAATTTCCGGTAGCCTAGTAGGAGGTGTGCTGCCAAGCCCAAGGCATGAGGTTAGAATGAACCAGCTCAGGAGAAAGATAGACAGTCTCCTCCCACGCTATTTATAACCTTAGAAAACCTGCTAGCAGATCAGGTCCGAATCAGTTCTGCCTGGATGGTCCCATAACAACAGCAGGCTCATATGAGAAGAAGTTTTTCTCAGTCTTAAGGGATTGAAAGGAAGGTTGCAATGATCCCTCAGATAAGTACATCTTTGTGATTTGAGTTATTTTACCTCACCCTCTTTTTTCATAGCCACACCACAGCATTGCCAGTCACACACATCCTGTTATCTACAAACTTAAATTGCACTATCACTCAACAATAATGAATTTGAAAAATACTCACTTGATTATGAAGAGAAGAGTGTGAAAGTTTTAAACTACTTTCTGCTCTTATAAGTCTTCCTTAACCATCAAAACCACTTACAGGAAGACAAGACTGTTGGGAGAATTTTGATCTAGCTCTGGTCTGAACCACCTACCCCCTCCCGCCCCCCTGCCTTTTATCTACTCTTCCATCTGCCTCCATTCCTTTTCCCTGGCACAGTAACAGTGTAGTTATAGAAATCCTTATTCTGTCTGTCACAAGAGGAAGCTTTGTCTGGATTTAAATGCTTCTGTGGTTTTGGGATGAGGACTTTTGGAGCACAGGTCTCTTCAGAATATTGATAAATTCCTTTATAACTCCAACTCTTGGTGTTCAACTCTAGAGATCTTCCATTGGTTCCTCTGTATTATTTACTTTTTTCAGGCTGCTGTAACTTGTCTCAAAATAGCAGAAAGAAAAGACAGGACTAAGCAATTGGGGATTCTATTTATGATGGTAACAGGACTGCAAAGTTATTGAGCATAGGATGTCTGCAGTGCAAGGATTTCAAACCTTGTAATATGATGTATTGGGTTCTATTCCTTCCTCTTGGATATGCCATACAGTGTCTTAGATAAAGGTAGCTCTGGTGGCCTAGTGGGTAAGGAGTTGCACTGTAAACCTAAAGTAGGCTGTTCAAATCCACTAGCTGCTCCATGGAAGAAAGATGGTCAATCTCTTCTCTTGCCATTTATTGCCTCTGAACACCCACTGGAGGGTCAGATAAGAGTCAGTTTCCACTCAGCAGCAATGAAAGAGAGATGGAAAGAAGCGATGAGCCAGTGGTGAAATGGCCAACATGAATTCTCACAGTCTGAGTGATGTATATCGCACTAGCCACAGCTAATAAACCAGTAACAACACAGCCACTACTATGCAAGTGAGGGCAGCAGTAGCCTTGGGTGGAGAGAAGACCAACCTTGTCAATGAACTTTAACAATCTGCTTCTAAACCCCAACTTCTAAGAATTGAGGAAGGGTCCTATGCTATTCTTTACTCATTTTGGTTTCTTATTTCCTCTTTTGTCTTTTAGAGAAACAAAAGAAGTCTTTGGATTCAACTAGAAGGGAAGTTAACCTGGTATGTTTGATATATCTATTCAAGCAAATCCAGTTGTGCTCAATGTGTGTTATTTAATGAATCTATGTAACACTTGCCATGCATCAGCTCAGTGCTAAGCACTACATAGATTGTGATCTCTTTTGAAAAGTATGCCTATTTTCTCTTTTCTTTGGACACAAAGTTTCATCAGACTCCTCAGCAGAAAAGTCAGGACCTGAGCAGCAGAATCTTGGCTCTGCTCTGTTTACTTACATTCACAGGCACACCTTAAAGTATTTCCGGAAAAGAACAGGGGGTTAATGAAGGAATAAACAGATTCATAACCTCATAAGATGACTGGAATTTATTGTAATTGACACAGGCAGATAGCGAGGCTTACTTATTGGGCAAACATCCTTGATTCTGTGTGGGCTCATCAGGGAAGAGCCCCACCAGAATGAGCCAAGGATGTTTGGACAGCAGTGCAATGTTTATTATAATTTCTTGAAAAAGAAGTTTAGTTATTTGGTGCTTAGTGATGCACTAATATTGAAGCTCAGAAAAGAATGTAAGATAGGACAATGTGTTGTTGTTGTTGTTGTTACGTGCTATTGAGTCACGGGCAACTCATAGCAACCCTATGAACAAAAGTCCTGGACACCTCCTGCATAACTTTCGTCCTTTCTCCAGGTTCATAGGGTTTCCGGATGCAAGCTATTATGGAAGTGGATGCCACTCCTGCTTCTAAGCTTGTTTAATCGGGAAGCTCCACCAAACACTGTCCACCATGGGTAACCATTCTTGCATTTGGCTCATCAGTGTCACAGTGTTAGGCTTCACAGCAACCACGAGTTACCATTGTATAGCAAGTGGATATACCAGGGTTACACGACCTAGAAGAACGTTTCACCAAAAACAATTACAGGCAGGCCTGAGGACCACAGAGTAGAGTCACCCACCTTTGGCTTGGGAGGGTGGCTTTCTGTCCACTAGGCCCACTGCTCGCACTGGCACGCACGTGCGCTCTCTCTCTCTCTCTCTCTCTCTCTCTCTCTCTCCCTCTCACTCTCTCCTGTTGTTAAGTGTTGTCGAGTCATAGGTAACTCACAGCAACCCTATGAATGAAAGTCCTGGGAACCTCCTATATAACTTTTGTCCTTTCTCCAGGTTCATAGGGTTTCCAGAGGCAAACTATTGTGAAAGTGGATGCCACTCCTGTTTCCAAGCTTGCTTTAATTGGGGAGCTCCACCAAACACTGTCTACCATGAGTAACCATTCTCGCATTTGACTCAATGTTACAGTGTTCGGCTTCACAGCAACTACAAGTCACCTCTGTGCAGCAAGTGGACAAACCAAGGTTACGATATATTTGAGAAAAAATATTAATCACTAATGAAATACAAATAATGGGTCAAAAATAAACTACTGCAGTCAAACTTCTCCGTCCCCGCCACCCTGATCTCAGTAAGGAGTGATAGGAATAAAGAGATGTTCCTCATTATCAGAAAATATAGGAACTCAGGTGACCTATTGTATAGGGAATTGCTCTACCAAACCATAGGTTACCTGGTTTGAACCCATCAGAATCTCTTAGTGACAAAGATGGGTAATCTCCTCCAGTGCAATTTACCTTCTTAGCAACTCAGTGGGGCATCAGCAATGAGTTGATTTCAACTGAATGACAATGAGTTTGAGGAATTGTTTTTGGTTTGCTTGTAAAGACGTCAGCCTGGGAAATTCACTAAAATAGTTCTATTCTGTCCTAGAAGATGACTATGGGTTAGAATTGACTTGATGGCACATATCAACAACAATGATTCTCTTGAGCAAAAGAAATAGCCTACCAATCTGTTTCCAATGAGATTACACCCAAGAAAAGCAGTTCTAATATGTAACACATAGTTCTCATAAGGTTAGAATCAGCTCAGTGGCAATGGGTTCATCTCCTTGAAAGCTCCAAAAATATTAGAGAAAGATCTGGCCAGTAATTCTACATTTCACATTAAGTGATACCAAGCTTTCTCCAAAAAACTACCTAATTACAAACTTAGAAATTGGAAAATGTGTACTGAATTTTTAGCAAGTATCAATATGCATTATGTTAGGCTCTAAGAGTTTTGTTTCCCCAGATATGAAGATTTCATTAAATATTAGTTCTCTTATCTTGTAGAAAAAAACAAAAATTCAACATCCTGACACAACTGACCCAAGAGTTTTCAAATAATTTAAAACAATAATCAGTTCGCTGGGCCAGCAAATTCTCAGTTGGTTAAAATGTGATAATGGTTTTTTTTTTCTGTTTAAGGTGGATTCATCATTTATAACTTGAAGTTGAATTAAAAATGTGTTTTTCTATGGGTACATTTTTATTTGGGAATATTGTTTTAAGGTGTTTATGTCTTTTTCTGAAATTATAGTTGTTTCGTTTGACTTACCAAAGAATTTTTAAGACAGACTTTATTTAGGATTCCAATGAATAAAAATTCAATGTAAAGAAAAGCCATTTGTTTTTTAAAAAGGCAGGTTTATACAAAAGTTAGAGTTTTGATCTAACTCAAGAATAGTTCTTTAATGGTTTAAAGGAGTTTTTGTTCGACTGGCACAATCAGACATTTTTTATTTTAAAATTTTTATTTTGTACTGGTTTACTTACAAAGTTTTTTATATTTTTTTTTCCTCAACAATCATACCTTTTTAAAAGGAATTTTTTTTATAGTATGTAAATTATGGCTCAATACTTAAGTATATCAAGTACTTTAAGTAAGCCTGGGGCTGCCTACCCACCTTGATGGGCTCCCAGGGAACACTCAGTCACACAGTAGAGTACCATGCTTTATTTTAACCTATTCATTCTAACAAAATTCATCAAGGAAATGAGCTATCTCTTAGGAAGGAAGCTGGGTAATTGAATTAATAGACTTAAATAGATTCAAAAGTACAACCAAGATCTTGTCAGTATATTTCAGCTTTATGACTATTAGGTCCCATGATAGTCTTTTCTTCTCTACTGTTCCTTCTACTGACCTTAACAGGGTTCCTGTCAGTGGAAATTGGACACATCCTGTTTTGGTCAAGAGATTGTGAAGGTTAAAGCAATCACTGCCTCTTCCAATTATCTAGACTTAGTGCTACTTCCTGGGCAAGCACCTCCATCAGAGGCAGACCATGCACTCGGCAGATAATATCTAACTTTCTCCAGATACCACCAGATATGCTTGTCTGGTTAAACTCTGTTTAAGAGTTATAATAGGGGTTCAAATCCACCAGTTGCTCTGTAGAAAAAGATGAGTAATGTCTTCCTATTCTATTTACAGCCTCTGTGAACTTCCTGGAGGGTCTGTTGCAAGTTGGTTTTGGCTTAACAGCATCTAAAAAACACAACAGCAAAGCCTTCATGGGAGTGAGAACAATGAAGGATTAAGCAATCACATAGAGAGTCATGGATTATAGATTTGATCTCATTTTTAGGCCTGCCCTCAGCATCAAAAATTGACAGACATCATTGAAATAAAAGTAAATAACCTTTGGAATTAATATGGGGGCTCTGGTGGCTTAGAGTAGAGGGAGTTGTGCTGCTAACACAAAGGTGCACCTTTCTGGCCACCATCTTTACCATATGTACCCCTGTGTGGTTAAGAATGGCTATAAAGAAATGAAAATTGTAAGAAAACTTGTAATAAATTTATAACTTCTAAAAATTTAACTCTTTCCCGGAAGTTGTAAGGCATGTGAAACTCGAAGATACAGTCTTGGTAGTGTGTGTTCCCCTGAGGCAAAAATAACTGTAAAGCAAAAAACCAAATTAGGTGCCACTGGGTTGATTCTGACTCATAGAGAGACACAAGTGTAGACTAGAATTGCATTCCATAGAATTTTCACAGCTATGACGTTTTGGCAGTCGATTTTCAGATTTTTCTTTCAGGATGCCTCTGCATGGTTTCAAGCTGCCAATCTTTCAAAGGGCGGGTGATGTAGTGCACTATGTATCTGTTTGCACCACCCTATGTTGTTGTTATTGTATGCTGTAGAGTTGAGTATGAGTGAAAGAAACACTTTGAACAACAGATCTGAACTACAGCCTCATCATCTCTGATATTCCTGAGCCAGTTGTTACAGTCACTGTTTCAATCCCTCTTCTTGAAGGTCTTCCTCTTTCTCATATGCTGACTCTCTGCATTTCTAAACATGATGTCCTTTGTCAGGGACTGACTCCTCTTAATATCATGCTTAAATTATATGAGACAAAGTCACTACTACTTGAAGATTTTTTTTGTCTACATTTGTCTCCTGACAACAATTTTGAGTTTCTATGCTTTGAGTTCTAACTATATTTAGTAACTAATAATATGTATGCTTTCAGCTCACTTAAAAATGACTTCTTCTGATTTATACTTTATTTTTCTAAACTATGCTATTACTCACAATCAATGACTTATTCATAGCAAATACATTTTTTAAGAGGCATAAACGCAGGTTATAT